TCAATTGGTGCTACCCCAACTCTATCTCGTATATCATCATTCCGGACTCGATCCTTCCTCGTGTGGCCACACATCCATCTCAACATACGCATCTCCGCCACACCTAACTGTTGAACATGTCGCCTTTTAATCGGCCAACACTCAGCGCCATACAACATTGCGGGTCGAACCGCCGTCCTGTAGAACTTGCCTTTTAGCTTTTGTGGCACTCTCTTGTCATAGAGAATGCCAGAAGCTTGGCGCCACTTCATCCATCCGGCTTTGATTCGATGGTTCACATCTTCATCAATACCCCCATCCTCCTGCAACATTGACCCCAAATACCGAAAGGTGTCCTTCTGAGGTACCACCTGGCCATCAAGGCTAACCTCCTCCTCACACCTAGTAGTACTGAAACCGCACATCATGTACTCGGTTTTAGTTCTACTAAGCCTAAACCCTTTCGATTCCAAGGTTTGTCTCCATAACTCTAACTTCCAATTTACCCCCGTCCGACTATCGTCAACTAGCACCACATCATCCACAAAGAGCATACACCATGGGATATCTCCTTGTATATCCCTTGTGACCTCATCCATCACCAATGCAAAAAGATAAGGGCTCAAAGCTGACCCCTGATGCAGTCCTATCTTAATCGGGAAGTCATCAGTGTCGACATCACTTGTTCGAACACTTGTCACAACATCATCGTACATGTCCTTGATGAGGGTAATGTACTTTGTTGGGACTTTGTGTTTCTCCAAGGCCAACCACATGACATTCCGTGGTATCTTAGCATAGGCCTTCTCCAAGTCAATGAACACCATATGCAAGTCCTTCTTTTGCTCCCTATATCTCTCCATAAGTTGTCGTACCAAGAAAATGGCTTCCATGGTCGACCTCCCAGGCATGAAACCAAACTGATTTTTGGTCACGCTTGTCATTCTTCTTAAGCGGTGCTCAATGACTCTCTCCCATAGCTTCATTGTATGGCTCATCAGCTTAATTCCACGATAATTAGTACAACTCTAAACACCCCCCTTGTTCTTGAAGATTGGTACTAATATACTCCGTCTCCATTCTTCTGGCATCTTGTTTGCCCGAAAAATGAGGTTGAAAAGCTTGGTTAGCCATACTATCGCTATGTCCCCGAGACCTTTCCACACCTCAATGGGGATACAATCAGGGCCCATCGCCTTGCCTCCTTTCATCCTTTTTAAAGCCTCCTTGACCTCAGACTTCTAGATTCGCCGCACAAAACGCATGCTGGTCTCATCAAAGGATTCGTCCAGTTCAATGGTAGAACTCTCATTCTCCCCATTGAACAGCTTGTCGAAGTACTCCCGCCATCTATGCTTGATCTCCTCGCCCTTCACCAAGAGTTGGCCTGCTCCGTCCTTGATGCATTTGACTTGGCCAATATCCCTCGTCTTCCTCTCTCGGATCTTAGCCATCTTATAGATGTCCCTTTCACCTTCCTTCGTGCCTAACCGTTGGTAGAGGTCCTCATATGCCCGACCCCTTGCTTCACCAACAGCTCGCTTTGCGGCCTTCTTCGCCATCTTGTACTTCTCTATGTTGTCTGCACTCCTATCCAGGTATAGGCGTTTGAAGCAATCTTTCTTCTCTTTAATCGCCTTCTGGACATCATCATTCCACCACCAGGTATCCTTATCTTCGCTTCTCCTTCCCCTGGACACTCCAAGCTCCTCCGAGGCCACCTTACGAATGCAAGTCGCCATCTTCGTCCACACATTGTTCGCATCTCCTCCTTCCTCCCAAGGGCCCTCCTTAATGACCCTCTCCTTGAACGCTAGAGCTACCTCCCCCTTGAGCTTCCACCACTTCGTTCTAGCAACTTTGGCACGCTTATCCCGCTGGACACGAATCCGAAAGCGGAAGTCAGCAACCACCAGCTTATGCTGGGGTACAACACTCTCTCCAGGTATCACCTTACAGTCTAGGCACGCACGCCTATCTTCTCTTCTCGAGAGGATGAAATCAATCTGGCTAGAGTGTTGGCCACTACTAAAAGTCACCAGATGTGATTCTCTCTTTCTAAAGAGGGTGTTAGCTACAATCATGTTGTAGGCTAGAGCAAAGCTTAAGACATCTTCTCCTTCTTGATTCCTGATGCCATAGCCAAAGCCCCCGTGCGCCCCTTCAAACCCTGTGTTAGATGTACCCACGTGGCCATTGAGGTCTCCTCCTATGAAGAGCTTCTCACCAATCGGTACACTCCTAACCATGTCTTCCAGGCCTTCCCAGAACTCCCTCTCGGTATTCTCATTGTGGCCTACTTGCGGGGCATACGCGCTGATAACATTGAGAACCAAGTCCTCAACTACCAGCTTGACCAGGATAATCCGGTCCCCACGTCTCTTGACGTCTACTACTCCATACTTGAGGCTCTTGTTGATCAATATGCCTACGCCATTTCTGTTTGTAGCCGTCCCTGTGTACCACAGTTTGAAGCCGGTATCCTCCACCTCCTTCGCCTTCTGTCCTCTCCATTTGGTTTCTTGGACGCAAAGAATATCAACACCTCTCCTCACCGCTGCATCAACTAGGCTCGGCTAGCTTCCTTACCCTTCGCACTCGTCGAGTCAAATGCGAAGACCCTTGCCCATTTTCCACTACATCCGGGCGCCGATGTAGCGCGCCACTAAGGATGCGACGACCCGATCCTCGCTCACTTGCCACCGTATCCGGATCAAGATACAGATACGGTGGCAAGTGAGCGAGGATCGGTACTGACGGTACTGCACCTAGCACAAAATATGATCACGGGTTCTATACCTCCAATCCTTTCTAAATTGTCTGACCTAGTAGAGCTGAGACTCGATTGTAATCATCTCAGCGGTGAGATTCCGCCAGAAATCTGCACTTTAACTAATCTATATAAACTAACCTTTTCATCGAACCAATTATCTGGATCCATACCTACAGAGATAGAAAAGCTCAGCAATCTCGGATACCTTGATATATCTAGGAACAGACTGAGTGGATCAATACCTGAGGAACTAGGGGCCTGCATGAAACTACAGTCCTTGAAGATAAACGACAATAACTTCAGTGGGAGTTTGCCTGGAGCGATTGGAAATTTAGTAGGCCTGCAGATCATGTTAGATGTGAGCAACAATAACCTCAGTGGTGTGTTGCCACAACAACTTGGGAAGTTGGAGATGCTAGAATTTCTGAATTTATCACATAATCAGTTCAATAGCAGCATTCCATCCTCCTTTGCAAGCATGGTGAGCCTTTAAACACTCGATGTGTCCGACAACGAATTGGAAGGACCGGTCCCAACAACACGGCTACTCCAAAATGCTTCAGCAAGTTGGTTTCTTCCCAATAAAGGTCTGTGTGGTAACCTCTCTGGCCTGCCACCTTGTTATTCAATTCCAATAGCTAGTCACCATAAACGGAAGACATTTGGTTTTCTTTTGCCAATTGTTCTTGTGGTGGGTTTCGGCATTGTTGCCGCAATTGTTGTCATAGTAATGCTTAGTCGTAAAAAGAGAAAACCACAAGAAAGTGTTACTGCTGAAGCAAGGGACCTATTCTCTGTTTGGAATTTTGATGGAAGATTGGCATTTGACGATATTGTAAGGGCAACAGAAGACTTCGACGATAAGTACAACATTGGAACGGGTGGATATGGCAAGGTCTATAAAGCACAACTCCAAGATGGGAAGCTAGTTGCTGTGAAGAAGCTTCATCAGACCGAAGAGGAGCTTTGGCGTGGTTGTACTAGAGTTAGTTGTACCTCCATATAACTAATGATATTGGGATTGGTTTGTGCAGCGTGTAATATGTTGTTGTTGTTGGGTAGCACATTCCTCTACAAGAAAGATTGACTATACCTTGTTTCCATTTGCACTTATATTTTGAGAATGATGGGGGCGTGTGTGTGATTGATTGATTAGATTGGGGCAAATAGGAAAGCATGCGAGGGAGGCTTAGCTTTTTTTCTTCTTT